TATATATGTATATATATAGTTTCATTGTCTTCTTTCTTACATTGTTTCCCACATAAAATTGGGGTAAACCTGATTTTGTTCTTCTATGTGTAATCTGTGCTCTATCCCTATTTCTCCCCCTTAACACTGATTTTGAACCATTTAATAATGTACTAATCTTAATTTTAGTAACATTCTTTGTGCTTGAAGTTCATTGAATTTCTTGTGTCTGTGTTTGTACTTTGCACCAAATGTGGGGAAGTTTTGGCCATTGTTCCCTCCTACCCCCCGCCTGCTGTGTTCATGGTGGAATCTAAGGCCTTATTGACATTACACAAACACTCTACCACTGAACTTCATTTCCATTCCTCAAATATTTTTGCTTTTCCACCTCTTCTCTCTTTTAAGGACTTCAGCTATGTTCACAATAGACCATGTGAAGTCCCATAACCCAATGATGCTCCATTAATTTTCTCCCTTTTTTCTCTCTGTACTTTCCTTTGGTTAGTTTCTGTTGCTTTCTCTTCCGGTTCAGTAATCTTACCTTGTTTGGTGTCTAATCTTTTACTTCATCTCTCAGTCTGTAATGCCTGTCTGCTTTTTATATAGTTCATGCCTTAACTTTTGGATCATATGGGCTATAGTTAGGATAATTGTTTTAATGTGGTTGTTCTAACATCTGTATTATTTCTGGGATGATTTCTCAGTCACTTCACTTAGAGTCCTAGTATGGAGAGTCATTTCTTTTCATGGCTAGCAATCTTTGATTGCACAGTAAGAATTCTACATTGTCAGGGCTAGATATTCCTATAAGTAGTGAACTTTGTTTTAGGACAAAAGTGAGTGGAAAACAGTTTAATCCTGCTTTCAGTCTTTGTTAGGTGGGACCACTGCCTTGCTCAGAATAGGGTCAGTAGAGATAAGACCTTTCTGCATGGCCACACCAATGCTTCTTGGAACATAAGGTTTTCTAGTCTGATTGATGAGAACTGACATATTCCTGGCCTTATGTGAAGATGGATTCTGTTGCCTTTAATTTTTTCATATAATTCTTTTCATATCTTCCCTTAGAGTTATCCCAGGGACTCTCCTGCCCTGCTTAGCTTTATTCATTTATGCCTTTATTTTCATGGAGCACATTCTAATTCATTTATCTGTGTGTGTGTGTGTGTGTGTGTGTGTGTGTGTGTGTGTGTGTGTGCACATGGAGGCCAGAAGACGTTCTCAGATCTCCTGAAGCGGGAGTTACAAGCAGTTGAGAGCTGCCTGATGTAGATGCCGGGAACTATACTCAGCAGTTTGGCTGCTCTTCTGTCTGCTCCCATTGAAAAGTGAAAGACCAGCAGCAATTTGATTGGATCTCTATTAGCGTGGGTGGGGCATATACGCTTCACTGTAAGTTCATTGGATCATGACTTAAGGGTTTGTTTCAAATACCCCGAAGTGTCAAACCTGGTTTTCTTTTCTCTTTAAATACTCTGAAGAAGTGAAATCTGCTGTCCCCTGCCTCAGAAATAGGAACGTGGCTGCTGGTGTAGAAAGACAGATTGGAGTTGTGGGAGAGGTGAAATCCTCCTCCCTTTGGGAACAAACTTGTACTTCCCTGGTTTTCAGTTGGCACTGTTACCATATCACCAATGCACTGGTGCCTAAGATTAGTAACTTTCAACTCAGAGAATAAACTAACTTGTTTCCTGTGAAAATTTGAGGGAGAAATTGCCACGTATGTGTGGTGAGGTAGAAGTACTTCAAGGACCAATGATCTCGTAATAAATTTCCAAGCAGGCTTCCCCATTTCAGCCCCCATTGTAGTGCCTGGGTCCTCAGCCTCTGAGCCTCTCTGTAGGTCTTTGTGGAAGATTTACTGGCTGAGTTTGTTACACTTTCTTCATCTCTTTTTCTGCTTCCACATGTGTTGAATATTCTTCTCTCCTATTGACTCATTTTCCCTTGTGAATTTATAACTTTTTAAATCCTCTAGTAGATTATAAAGGGGCTTTAGGAAGTTGACCATGTTTATCCATAAATTCTACAACAGATTTGAAAGTGTGACTGATTTCAATAGACACAATGTGGGCTACATGGCATCTCCTAAGTGGACATTTCTTTGAAGTTCATGATTACTGCCCCTGAAATTGGCAGAACGAAGAGAATCACAAAACTTTTTAAACTTTTCTTTCAGACATACCACAAATACATAATTTCTAAATACAACTACAGGCAACCGTTTGGTATACATTGTTCCTATTGCTGTTATTTCTTCCATATATAAAACACTTATTTTTATTTATAAAGTAGATTAATATGGAGGCTGGGGAAATAGCTCTGTTTGCAAAATGCTTACTGTGCAAGCATGAGAACCTGAGTTTAGCACCCATGTAAAAAACTGGACATGGTGGTATTGCATTTATAATCCTGATACAGCCTAACCTATTTGACAAGTCCCAAGTCTTAGTGGGAGATCTTGTCTCAAAAAAAAATAAGGCTCTTGAAGACACCCAAAGTTGACCTCTAGCCTCCGTGTGCACGTGCACACATGTACACACATAAACATGTACACATACCACATACACACATATTTTTAATGGATTACTGTGCACTTGTTTTGCTATTCTCTCCACCCGATTAATGTGGGGTGGTCATTTTGTTATTGTTTGTCTTATCATATCAATAAACATGGTGTGTACTTAACTCTCTCAATGGCTGGGTAGTGAGTATTCCATTGGAAAATGCATCAAATTGTACCTTATCATTGTTGCCTGTGCATTGCATTAAATCCTTTTTGTTCTTATTGTACTGCAATGAATTCCATCTGTAGATTAAATCCTTGGAAATAAAATGCTTGGTCAAAGGGCAGGGAATGTTCCAGTTTAGTATATGTAGACTAGATCCTCACTCCTAAAAGACTGTCATGACTTGTTTCTTAAATTGTTTTATACAACACACAGTTGACTCTGTCTATCTGCGGGTTCAGCAGCCTCAAAATCCACCCGAGAATGGAAGATACTTGAAAATCAGTTGCATTTGTATTGAAAATGAATAGACTTCTTTTTCATCTTGTCATCATCCCCCTAACAATCTAGTATAACAATTATTTACTTAAAACCTAATGGTAGGTTTTAGAAGCAGTTCAGAAATGACTGAAAACACATGGGAGACTATAAAGACAGGAGCGTCTGTGAACTTTGGTATCTTCAGGAGTCTTGGAATCCATCTCTTGCAGATACTGAGGGATGACTCTATAAACACTTCACACTCACTGACTGGTTATCCCTGTCCAGACTGGTAACCTGCCTCTGGACTTTATAATGACAGCTTCGTTCTGAGCTCAACTGTATTCCCTGCCTGCCCATCTCAGTACCACAGAGCTGCTGCCCAGTCAGCCTTACCGACTTCCAACCCCTCTCGTGTCTATGGAAGGACACTGCTTGAGCTATCTGCTTTTCTTCCCCAGGAACTCATGAACACCAGCCTCCTCCTTCCCAGGCTTTCTCTCAGTTGTTAGTTTACCCTAGGTTCTTATTGCATTTTCAGCTTAGCAAATGAATCTTGAGGATTCAGCAGCCTAAAGGACTTACTTGTAAAAACTAATATGAGGAATGGGGCTATAGCTCAGTAAGGTAGAATGCTGGCCTAGCACACACAAAGCTCTAGGTTCAATCCCAGAACTAAATAAAACTTGCCCCCACAAAACTCGTGTGATATCTCAATGGTCCTTAATCGAAAAGAGGATAGAAATTGACCATTAGTATGGGTCTTGCTTTTGTACCTTTTATAGAACCTTTGAAACCCAAATCCTTGATAACCAAGAAGAAAATATATCTGTATTTATTTTCCTTGTGACTTTCTTCTTTCTCTTCCTTTTATAGCGCCATCAGTAGCACCTTTAAACGTCACTGTGTTTCTGAATGAATCTAACAATAATGTGGATGTCAGATGGATGAAGCCTCCAATTAAGCAGCAGGATGGGGAACTGGTGGGTTACCGGATATCTCACACATGGCAGAGTGCCAGGACTTTGGTAAGTCTGCACCCCCAAATCACACTTAGTCGTTTCCTTTTCACCTTCTGATTTCATTATGTTTCAGAAGTTTTGTTTTTATGGAGAAGGGATTGTTATGATTGAGCAAGGCAAGGTACCGTGCAGTGAGGTATGAGCAATGTAGCAAAAATCAGCAATGGCTGAATAGTTAGAATGTTCTATGTAGTCTTTGGGGGGTCTTTTCTCACTCCTTGACTTACTCTTCCATCAACTAATTCATCAGCAAAGAGGCACTTAATGCATCCTGTGTTGTCACCTGACGCTTGTCCTCAGAAGATATAGGCTCTTTTTTAAAAAAAAAATTATTATTTCTGTTTTATGTGTATGAGTGTATTGCTGGCATGTATGTAAGTGCACCTGTATTTTGCAATGCCTTCAGAGGTCAGAAGAGAGTATCAGATTTCCCTGGAATTGGAGTTATAGATAATTGTTAGCCACAATGTGGGTGATAGGAATTGAACTCAGGTCCTCTGCAAGAGCAGCCAGTGCTCTTAACCACTGAGTCATCTCTCCAGCCCCAGAATGTAGGCACACATAAGAAGAGGTCTGAAAACTATCTAGGTAATCATAGCATGCAGTCAGAGAGCTACAGGACTTAGCACCTAACAATTCATAGCCTCATGAAAATTTTGAAAGATTCTTTCCTAAAGAAGACATCGTGGATCATGATTGGCTTCATACAGGATAGTGAAGGGTAAATAGACTTCAGACAAGAGAGTTTAGCAGGCAAGCCTCGCATGGCTCCATAGAAGCCAAAATTAGACAGGGAAGCAGTGCAAGACAGCTGGTCACTCATGGCATAGCACACAGCAGAGTACCCACCAGGGTGTGACTCTTTTGGGAAATGTAATGAGCCCAGAGGGTGGGTTGTACAGCTGAGGATCTCAGGACCAAGAGCTCACCACCATGAGTAGTGAGCAGCATGCAAGCCCATCCTCTGTGCAGTTTGCTCCACTGCCATGATGTGACCATCCTGACTTTCTTCTCTGCCTACGTGACCAACCCCAGAATGGTTCAGGGCCAGAGATGGTCACATCTTATGTGTTGACATACTCAGCAAGAATGTACAAAGATACTGTGGCCTCTGGTAAACTGTCTAGATTGGCAAAAGTGGTACTTGATCTGTGTTTACATATTGCCTGAAGTTCTCTAGAGAAAGCTCCAACAGGATACATATTTGTACAGAAAGAGATTTAATATAAGGAATTAGTTCATGCTTTTACAGAGGTTAAGTTTTATAATCTGCCACCTCTAGAGTCCCTCTAGAGTCCTGGAATTAAAGGCAAGTGCTACATGCCTGGCTCAGATTGGTATAATTTTGACAGATGAAAATGGAAGTTTCAAGTGGGAGAAGCAAATGTAAGGGAAGGCATAATGAGACAGCTTTAAGAGAATCATGACTCACTCAAAAGCCTGGGAAAAACTCCTTTATGAGCAGCTGGTAGGGAGTAAAGCTGACCTTGGGAGGGGTGTTCCTAACATATAAGTTGTAAAAGTTGGGCTGAAGCAGAATTTGGTAGATGACAGGGGAGTCATTGGCATTTGAGTCCGGGAGTACAGCTTGAGACTTACATATTATAAAGATGATTCATATCACTTTTCCCTTATGAGTAAATAAAATTGAGTTTATTGAAAATAAGTAACTTTCAAATCTGCCTTCTTTCCCCCAGAGCATTTTCATGATCCACATTTTCTACAAAGACTGGCCAGGGAATCAGCAGCTGACTCCTGCCACTGTCTAGAAGGAATATCTTATCTTGCTCACAGACAGTGGATATAACTGTCGACATCTATTTTGAATACCAGTATGTGCTTGAAACTGGCTAAGGTGGAGGCCATAGTGCATCTCTATGTTAGATCACTCCTCCCTTATAATCTAAGGCTGGAAAGACCCCCTTTACTTCAGACTCTCTAGTGTGAGTGCTAATTTAATTTCACAATAGCAAACCAAAGGCAAGGGGGATGCTGCTGTGAAATGGAGGCTGCCTCTCTGAGTGCCATCCAGTGCCCTCACAGGGACTTTGTTACATGGAACTCCAGTCAGATGAAGTCTCAGGGTAATTGCTATGGTAGGTACTCAAGCCAGGGCAAAAGTAGGGGAGGCAACAGAGGAATGAGGCCTGAGTATGGTTGGAAGGGCAGTGTCCGGACAGGTGCCTTTCCCACCCCCAGAGAAGAAGTTACAGAAATGCTGATTCTTCACAGCATAGAATTTTCGTAGAAGCACTGTATGCCTGTTAGTTTTTACTGTCAACTTGACAAAACCTAGAGTCACCTGGGAAGAAGGAACCTCAAAGAATTTCCCATATCAGATTGGCCTGTGGCCATGTCTATGAGAAACTGTCTTTATTGATGATTGATGTGGAAGGGGCTGAATAAGAAAACTAGCTGGGGGCTAGAGAGATGGCTCAGAGATTAAGATCACTGACTGCTCTTGCAGAAGACCCAGGTTCAATTCCTAGGACCCACATGGCAGCTAACAACCATATGTAACTCCAGTTCCAGGGGATCCGACACTCTCTTCTGACCTCTGTGGGCATTGTACAACATGGATGCACTTACATGCATGTAGGCCAATACACTCATACATGTAAAATAAATAATAAAAATAAAATATTAAAAAAAGAAAACCAGCCGAGCATAGCCAGTGAACAAGCCAGTAAACAGTATTCCTCCATGGTTTGTGCTGCAGTTTCTGCCCTGACTTCCCTCAGTCATGGATTGTGATCTGGAAATATAAGCCAAATAACACCCCCAATCCCCACAGATTGCTTTTGGTGGGGGTGTTTATCACAGCAACAGAAAGCAAACTAGAACAGGTAGATACACTGGTATCACTAATAGGACTGATTCTTCCTTTCCTTTCTTACCGTGGTCATGGGAAATGTGCCTCTTTTGTGCTGTCATGTTTCTCATTGATATAACCTGGTGGTAGATGGAGGAACAACTACAGTCCCTGGTCTAAGCTTCATTCTTGTCATTTCCAACCTCATATCATCCAGTGTTTATGAAAATGCCTCTTCTGAAGGAACAGTTGGGATTTATTATTTTTCATTTCCTTCCCATCAGAAAGCAGCGTGCGGGAAACAGTTGGTGATGGGAATAAAAGAAACGAGGGCTTAGACGTTTGTGTTGTTCTGTCTCCTATAAATGATAACCATGTATTTGTAGCTTACCAACTCTGTTTTAAGTCATAGCCATGAATGAGAAGCCTCCTATTCCCTAGTCTTGTCCCAAGAAATGTGTCTGGTGCCTCAGAGTTAACTATATTTCTCCATGGGCTGAGTTAAGGGAGTCAACTGCCTGTCTTAGAGAAAAGCTTTTATTTCCTCCCACAATAATGAATGCTTGGTATGGAATGTAAAGGTTTGGTAATTGCGGTCCAATTCAGTAGGAATTTCATCTTTCTCTGTTGGCAAAAATTACCAGCAGACATGTGAGTGGTGGTGGTCTAAAAACAAACCAATATGTTGGGATTTTTAAAAATTGTGTGTGTGCGTGCGTGTGTGCCTGTGTGTACATGAGTGTGGGTGCCTGTGAAGGATAGAGGTGTCAGATCCTGGAGCGGGAGTTACAGGCAGTTGTGAGCCACCTGATGTGGGTGCTGGGATCCAAACTCAGGTCCTTTGTAAGAGCAGCAAGCACTCTAGCCCCTTTAAAGATTTTATTTATGTTTGTTTATTTTTATTTGTGCCTCTGTGAGTGTATGTACATATTTGTATGCAGATGCATGTGCCTATGCACTCAGAGAGGACAGAAGAGGGTGTTAGTCCTGTCAGAGGTAGAGGCATTTACAGCTTATTATATGATGCTGGGACCTGAACTGCTGTCCTCACGATTGTACAACAAGTGTTAACAACTGAGTCCTCTCTCCAGCCAAACCAGTGTATTTAAAGAGCTTCTCCTGGTGTAGATGAAAACCTCTTTCCCAGAGGGGACTTCTTGAACTAAAGTATAGGAAGGATAGCCTGAAAACTATGATTGACGGTGGACCAAGAGCCCAACACACTGAATAGTCATGCTCAGCCACACCCGGTGTTCTCATCGCTCTTTGTTCAGACTGGTCCCCTCCACAGTGAGAACAGTATGGGCACAGTTCAGGCTGTGACCTTTCCAGTCACTCACCTCCTTGCAGATGCCAAGTCACCCTGTGAGAAGGTCATTTGCATTATACCCACTCTGTGCCTTATGCATCACCACAGTCTTGTGACAACAAAAGGCTGAGTGGGTCAAGTTACTTTGGGAACATCCTCTGATACAACTAGGCTTTTAGCTCATGATCAGTAACTGGAGCAAGGAGGAAGCTAAAGAAGCCCTGGGAGGGGCCCCAAACCCAGGGCAGAGTGAACTTGTCTGTGACCTAAGCTGTCTGTGATCTGCTGCTTCATTTCCAGAACTATCTTCATCTCGGAAGGACCCAGCTCAGATACAGCGTCATCTCTCAAATTTGTCCTTTCATTCCCACTTTTAGAATGTTCTCTCTGAAGCTACTTCTTCTTATGAAAGGCAGGGAAATTGGACCTTTTTGAAATTTCTGATGTACAACTGTAGTAAGTTGGATTTTGTGTGTATGTGCAATTTCAGAACTTTCTTGGAAGAGGTCTCTAGGTGGTTTGTTGTTATTACACTGAACAGTTTGTCATCCCACCCCAGGACAGTCATGTTACTATGTCAGTCAAGTAGCAATTTCATGTTTCTCTGATGACAGAAATTAGTGATTGCCAGTGGCAGACACCTGGCTGGTCTAAAAACCAACCAATGCCTGATCGTCTCTTCTACTTTTCGCTCTGGTGAAAGCCATTGCATGTATGATAGCCGGGGGTGATGAAAGGGTTATGAATGATGGTGATCCTGGGCCTGCCGCACTGTGTTCCAGTCACACTTGGCCTTGCTCAGCATTCTTGGTGTCCTTCAGAATGCTGCCCCCTGCAGTGCGAATGGTGTGGGCAGTTAGACTAAGAACCTTTACAGTCTGCATTATCCCTCACTGAAGATTTTTACTCTTTTTGTTCTTTTTTCTTGCTATCCCTTGCCTTCCAAATCAGAGCTCGAAATCCAAAGGTGAGGAACGTGTACCAGTGTGTTCACTTTCAAGTTGGGGTCATGTCTTGCTCACCTTTGCGCTGTCTGAACACAAACAAGGCCTTGCATTTGCCTTGGAGGCATCCGTAGCACTGTGGACCCAATGTGTGGACTCTGCTACACTGTCTAAACCACCTAGAAAGTTTTTTTCTGAATTGGGCAGTCCTTTGATTAATGTGAACTGTTGTTTCCCATGTTGTCCCATTCCATAAAATGTCAGTGGACCTTCCATGAAAAAAGCTCAGTGAGCAAGTAAGTTTATAAAATATTGCATGTTAAACCTCCTTCTTAAAGACTCACAGTGTAATCTGGGAAGCTAAAGGCTCTTCAGTGTTCTATAATAAATAAGTCTTGACCAAGAATTACTCAAACTTGGGGCTGGAGAGATGGCTCAGTGGTTAAGAGCACTGCCTGCTCTTCCAGAGGAACCAGGTTCTATTCCCCGCACCCACATGGCAGCTAACAACTGTCCATAACTCCAGTTCCAGGGATATCTGATGCCCTCTTCTGACCTCTGCAGGCACTGCAGACATGGATTCACTTACATGCAGGCAATACACTCATACATAAAAAATTAAAAGTGATAAATAAAATGTTTTTTTTAAAAAGAATTACTCCAGCTAAGGTTCATTTTTACCTTTGTGGTTTCTATGGGGCCTGTTGTTTCAGGATTATGGCTCTAATGCTGGCTTAATCAGTTTGTAATGGGTAGAGATTTTAGATTAGAAGGAAGTCTCAGAGAGGAGATTATGGCCTTGAAGCAATGTGATTGGGCTTAGTGGTAGAGAGAAGCAAGCTCAGAAATGTGGAATGGCTCTCCCAGAGCCACAGAGCTTGGAACTAGAGATCTAGGGACTGGAACCCAGGCCTGGCTGAATGCTCAGAGCCCACCACCGCTCCTTCTCTGCTGCCCTTGGCGCTCTTCCTAATGCTACATCTCCCATTCAGTTTCACAGGGGGCCCCTGACTGAGCAGGAGGAAGTTAGAACAGGAAGATGGGGGCTTCGCTTTGGTGTCTGTGAATCTGAGTGCTTTTGAGCCAGTCAGTCATCTTTGTTACTGCATGTGACAGAGCTATTATCTGATAGTTCTTTCCTCATTGAAGTTACTCCTCTTAAGGCTGGAAACCAGCCATGTTCTTACATGCAGTTAACAGGGGTGTGGATTCTTATAGAGTGGTTGGTGTTGTTAAAGTCTTGATAATCTAATGGGCATCATGGAATATGCCTTTTTAATCCCAGCACTCGGAGACAGAGGCAAGAAGATCTCTGTGAGATTGAGACCAGCCTGGTCTACACAGCCAGTTCCAGGTCAGCTGGGGCTACAGGGAAACCCTGCCTCAAACAAAACAAAAAGTCTTTTGATAATCTGAAAACAAAAGGCTACCAAGGTCTTAACTCTGATGCCACACCCGTGAGAAAAACAGAGGTGGTTTTTCCAAAGATTTGCTGTTACTTCTTGACCTGCAAAGTCTGTTACGTCTTTTTTTAAAGTAAGGAAGTTGCATTCAAATGCCATATTAGAGATCTGATTTCATTACCTGGAAAATGCTCTGAGATTAAATCCAGAATAACAAACTAACCCACCATCCCAGCTGGATTTGCCACAAATAAATGCTTTATTTATTAAAAAGATACTACCAGGATGTCAGGATATCTTCCCAAATTGAAAATCTTTGACAGTATCATGGGCCCAGAAGTGGGGATGGGGGAGAGAATATTTCTTGTTTCCCCTTTCATCCCTTTTCTGGGGTATTTCTTGGTCCTGAGGGTCACTTCCTGTCCAGATTTAGAAACAGTCTCTGGAAGGCCAACCCAGGTGTTCCCTTGGTCATGAATAATGGTCGGCCCCGTTCTTGAGGCTGAGATAGCTCTGTCCTGAACCATCGCTAGAGTTAGCTGGCTTGAGACCAAATAACCTGGACTTGAAGTTACCACCAAACCATGCCCCTAGTTCATTTCTAGTTACTTGTAGTACCTGTGCCCCACGTGGTCCAGTTTCACTCTAAAATCAGATTTCCACCATTCAGAGGTGAAGATGAGTTCCTAGAGCTTCATTTCAGCTCCTACTGCTCTATAGTTGCCACTTGAAAATCTAGTCCCAGATACAAAATTCATTTCCCATGACAGACAGTATCATGATTGTGGAGGTCTGGAAACTCAGGGGCCAGTGTCTGTGAACACTTAGCTCCAGACATTTCTTATCTTGGGTTTTAATGACTTCCTGTTTCATGGCAGTAACTTTAAAGCAACACAGGTAAAAGTAAACCGAAGCTTTGAAAAATGCACACATTTTTACTTGTCACGCTGAAAGAAAAAAAAATTGTATCGTTCTCTCCTCCATCTATAGTTTTAAGTCAAAATATCTTTGACTTTAGAGAACAGAAGCCTACCTACCAAGAGTAACTGGCAGATGGTTGGTGCCAAGGGATAGTACCAGTATGTGGCATTGGGTCGAGGGGGTTTCTAAACACAGGGTCTCAAGGGTTCAGTCCTGCTCTTGTCATCTGGAAGCATCTTCTATCTGTGTTCTAGACACTTCTTGACTGGTCGCTGTAAGTTCTATGCCTTCAGAACCTCGTTTGCCAAGGCCTGAAAGGCCTGAGGTTGTTACCTCCACCCTGTGACCCACCCTTCAGCTCTGCTGGCTGTTATGGCCTTAGTGAAGAAGGAACCTTGTGGAAACATGACCACTGACCCTGGGATGTGGTTGACTGCCCTCAGAAGGAACTGTGGGCAAGTAGGCAGTGGGGTCCCCATGCCTCTGTATTTCATTTCCTTTTTTTTTTTTTTCCTCTGTCCTCAGAAAGAGCTTTCTGAGGAAGTCGGCCAGAATGGTAGCTGGGCTCAGATTCCTGTCCAGATTCACAACGCCACCTTCACAGTGAGGATCGCAGCGGTCACAAGAGGGGGTGTTGGGCCCTTCAGCGAGCCAGTGAAAATAATTATTCCTGCACAAAGTGAGTGTGGGGTACCTGTTGGCTATAGAATGGGGCAGTCTGAACAGTGCACAGACCACCAGAGTGTACCCAGTGTGGTGGTAGCTGATAACAAGTGCAAAATAAGGACCCGAAAGAATTGCTGCAGTGATAAAGATCGTTATGATAACACACTTCACAGGACCCTCACACTTGTGGTTTCTCTTGTCATTACTATTAACACTGATAACTTGCTCGAAGATTAGTCCTTTCAGAACACCAGATTTGACTTTACCAGTTGACTTTTGTTTAAGTACCTGGGACTGAATTTTGGACAGGCAGTACTGCTAATCCTTAGCTCTCTCTGACTGGCACTGTTTGTGCGCCGTGTTTGTTTCACTGTTTTAAACTACTGCTTGCCTTGTTTTTACCCGTTCAACCCTTGGGTAATGTGCTCTGTGACTTGGTTTTCACAGAACAAGTGTCCTCACCCTGCCCTGGCCAGTTGAGCTAAATGCCCAACCATGTGTACCAGCTTTTGCATGCTGCTGGAATGTTCTTTGGCCAGGAACCACCATGATGTCCCAAGTGGACCAAATGCTGCATTTGCTTGCATAGACCACCTCTGTTCTGACTCCAACCTGGCCTAGGTTGTTTGGTATTAAACCACTGTCATGAAATCCATCCCCAGTCTTCTTTCTCACTGTGACTTACTCATTACAAGTTCCTGCTATGCTAAACATGGCCTTTGTACCCAGTAACAGATGAGACTTGAGAGCAGATGACTGAGTTGTTCTGTCTTCTTCCCAGTGACCCCAAGCAGGCTCTCCCTTTTAGTACTGAATGGGAACTGAATTAGCTTCCTATAGCTAGTAGGTTCAGCACCTGGAGAACATAGTCACTAGTAATAGGTATGTCTCCCTAGAAGAAACTCAAAGATAATGAGAGTCTGATTCTAAAGGCTTTAAAAAATCAAATTTACAGATGGAGAGATAGTTCAGTGGCTAAGAATATTTGCACCCTAGGCAGCTCATAACTGCCTGTGACTTCAGATCCAGGGGAATCTGATGCCACTGGCCTCCGAGAGCATCTACATGAATATGCATACACATACATACCATAAAAATAAATCTTATTTTAAAATCAGAGTTTAGGGCCAGACATGGTGGTTGCATGCCTTTAATCCTAGCACTCAGGAGGCAGAGGCAGAGGCAGGCAGATCACTGTGAGTTCAAGATCAGCCTGGTTTACATAGCAAGTTCCAGGCCAGCCAGGAATACATAGTAAGACCCTGTTTCAAAAGAACAAATTAGAATTTAAGACCATAGCTTTCATCTCCATGCGTAATAAATACACTCTGAGAGTTTTTAATGCTTTGCTTTACAGGTAGACCTTGCTTTGCACTGCTCCAATAAGTGCAGGTGCCTGTTACCACAGTTTAAGTAACAACAGTTCCCTAACATTCCGGTTCAAATTTTAGTTATCCTCCTACATGAATTGTAATTGCATAAAGCATAAGCTTGCCACTAGCTCTTCTGTCTACAAGTAACCATGTAACAGATGTATGACATGTCTACAGCCAGCCATGTCACTCTTTTAGATCCCATCAGTGACTGGCCACTGTGTCTTTGTTATTCAGTTCACACACTTAGCAAAGACATGCATCCTGTGGCTTCCTTGCCTCCCAGTAACAAATCTGTGTGACATTTACAAACGGATAGTTGAAAGAAGGAATTAGTGAGCCAAGATGAAAGGGCAGCAAAGAAATGAAAAGGAATCGTGTTGAAAGTGAAAATCGAATTGAAGGTAAGGGGAGTGTGAGATGCTGATGCTGCCATTGTTTGGTTGATTCCATCTGTGCAGCCTGAGCAACATAGTAAAGTTATACTAAAGTTATTGACATAAGGGCAGTGATACAACAAAAATGATAAAAATGTCCCAGAGAAAGGCATTCCTGAAGAAACCTCTACTTTATGGTCTGGAGGCAGAGCTAAGGGGGACAGCACTTGCCTAGAATGAGTGAGGCTCTGTGTGCCACCCCAGCCTGCAAAGTAAATAAATCCTTCATGTTAAAGAAATTCTCTGAGGCACCTTATAACAGTGAAAGCACAAAAGAAAAACATTGGAATTATATCCCAACTTAGAAAGGAATGTGACGATTCTTCAAAACATAAAGAAGGTATTTTCTGTGTCCTAAGTCATATGACTAGAAGACACATACTGTTTAAATGTCTCTTGATAGTCTTTTGTAAATGAGTAAGTCATGTTGATAAATATCTCTCTATATTTCTTTTAGGGGCAAAGAAATCACTTTGGTTCATACTGTTTCTAATGCTTAACTCACTTTGTTCCAGCCAGGTGTGGTGGTGGAACTTGAAAGGCTGAAGCATGAGGGGTAGAGAGTTGGAAACCAGCCTAGACTTCATAGGGAGACCCTGAGAATAAAGGATGGGAGGGATGGAGGGAGGGAGAGAAAGACAGAAAATATAGTGTACAAGGCAGATACTACTACTAATTTTTCGTTTCTTCCGCATTTATTACTAACATGAAGAGAGTTTGCTATTGTTGTTTTTTTTAATTGACAATGAAAATTGTGTGTATCTGTGGACTATAGTCTGTTGTTTAGTTGTATATACAGGGTACTGACACAGTCAAGCTGGTTTTGTGGTTAGTTACAGCCACTGCAGTTTCACCTTGCACAAAGTGAGGACTACGTACATGCGTTGATCACATAAATAAATAAAAAATAATAATAAATAAATAATTACAAGTCAGTGTAAAGGTGGCACACACCTTTAATCCCAGCACTGGGAGGCAGAGGCAGGAGAATCTCTGTGAGATTGAGGCCAGCCTGGTCTACATAGCAAGTGACAGGTCAGCTGGGGCTACAGGGACACTCTGTCTCAAAAAGACTAAAAAAAGAAAAGAAAAGAAAAGAAACCTTCTGTATTTTGAATCTCAAAGAAATGTTTCTGATTGATGGCTTTGGTTTTCTTCCAGATGAGGTAGATTATGCGCCCTCATCAACTCCAGCGCCTGGCAACACCGAGTCTGTGCTCATCATCCTTGGCTGCTTTTGTGGATTTGTGTTAATTGGGTTGATTTTATATATTTCTATGGCCATTAGAAAAAGAGTCCAGGAGACAAAGTTTGGGTAAGTTGCCCAGTTACAAATGTCAGCCCTGTGATATTAATGGATTTGTCATGACAGGTGGTAGTGCCTCTCTTGTTGGCTGGGCTTCTTGCCTTACTCCCAGATACCCTGTCTTAGGCAGGCCTAGAGTCAGGCAACTTACCTGCTTAGGCTAGTTCCTGAAAAGGCAGCCAACAGCCAGAGCAGCCCTGTAACATTCTCTTTTACAAAGCCTCAGGAGGCTCTGACTATACAGACTGGCTGGTGCTAAATGAGAAGCCTTAAAAATGACCTCAATTATTATATTTATTATTTATTTGTGTGCACGTATGTATGTGTTTGTGTGTGTGCACACATGCACTTACTTGTGCATGTGCATGTGGAGACCAGAGGTCAACATCAGGTATCTTCCTTTATTTTAAAACTGTTTTACATTTATTTGTTTGTTTTTGTGTTGTATATGTGCACATACATGATGTATGTGTGTAAGCATACCTACCACAGTGTGAGGGTAGAGATCAGAGGTCAACTTGGGGACATTAGTTCTTTCCTTCTACTTTGTAGGTCCTGGGGATCATCAAACTTGGCAGCGAGTGCCTTTACCTGCTAAGCCACCTTGCTGGCCCTTAGCCCTTGAGTATCCCTAATCTGGAAATCTGAATTCCAAATGGTTCAAAAGCCAGAACTTTTTGAGCACCATCATGATGCCTTACCATGAAATTCTGTGCACAAAAGGGTCACAAGGTTTATATATGATTACCTTAAAGCTGTGTATGAAATAGGTGCAAAATGGAAATGAACTCTTGTTTGAGTCCCAAGATACCACATATATAAGGATTCCAAATCTGAAAAAGCCTGAAATTTATAAGACTTTTGGTCCCAATCATTTCAGAGAGGCACTCATCTTGTGTATATAACACAAGGATGTTCATCAAAGCAGTAGGAGCTCGGGCTGCTTGGGGGTTGCTTAGTTTTCTCTTTTCTTTTCGTTTCTTTTGTTCTTTCTTCCTCCCTTCCTCAGCTGAATTTTGCCCATTTCCTGCAATTACCAGTTTTGAATAGAAACAATTTTATATTCAGTAATTCCCATTTAAAACCCTCTTTTTCCAGCACTAATTCTGTCACTCTAGAAAAGTCTTTGAGCTTTTCCCAGCTTCCTTGGTATTAATCTGTTTCTGGATGGTCCCCAGGGTTACTACCAATTCTAACTGCTGTGAGTCTCAAGAATGTTCTGTTCTGTTCTGTTCTGGGGGCTGGAGAGATAGCTCAGTGGTTAAGAACTCTGACTGCTCCTGGAGAGGACCTGGGTTTAATTATCAGCACCACATGGCAACTCACAACCACCTGTAACTCTAGTTCCAGGGGGATCCAATGCCCTCTTCTGGTCTCCATGGGCACCAGGCATACACATACCGCAGGAAAACACTCATATACATAAAATAGAAATAAATAAATCTTTAAAAAAAAAAAAAAAAAAAGAATGTAGGTCTGGAGACGTGGCTCAATGGTTAAAAGCACATACTTATCCAAAGGACCTGAGTTCAGTTCCCAGCACCCACATCAAATGGCTCACATTGCCTATCAGGGAATCTGAAGCTTCTGGCCTTGCGTTCATGTGCACATACCCACACACAGACATATACACATAAACATAATTTAAAATTATACAAAATAGCTGGGTATGGTGGTGTATGCCTTTAATCCCAGCACTCAGGAGGCAGAGTCAGATCTCTGTGAGTTCAAGACCAGCCTGGTCTACACAGTGAGTTCCAGGCTAGCTGGGGCTACAGGGAGACCCTGTCTCAAAAAGACCATTAAAAAAAATATATACAAATAAATCGTTTTAAAAAGAAATGTTAAGTTCTATCAGCAATTAAGAGATGCTGAGTCTTTTAAGAACTACGGAAGTATTCAATTTGTGTCATTAAACTAGAATTCATGGTTAGCATTATTGAAACAGTAATTGTTGCATAATGGTTCATAGGTATAGGTCAATATATATATATATGATATATATATATATATATATATCAGATTATGGGGGCTGGAGAGATGGTTCAGCAGTTAAGAGCACTGGCTACCCTTCCAGAAGACCCAGGTTCAGTTCCCAGCACACATATGGTGGCTAACAACTGTTCATGTCTCTAGTTCTAGGGGATCCAGCATCTTCTGGCCTCCACAGGCATTGCACACATTGGTGCACTTACATACATGCAGTCAAAATGCTCATATGCATAAAATAAAAATAAGTCAAATAAGTCAAAAAATTTAAATAATCAGGTTAGAGCAAGGGGTAAAACAGCAGTAGAACACTTGCCTAGCATTCATGATGCCCTGGGATCTGTTCTCAGCAACACACACACACACACACACACACACTCGAGATTATACAAAATAAGCCAGGCACGGTGGCACACACCTGTAATCCTCAGCAGTTGTAATCAGAGGCAGGAGAATTGTTGTAAGTTCAAGGGCATCATAGTCTACAGAGTTAGCTCCAGGCCAGCCAGGATTATGTAGTAAGACCTTTCAAAAACAAGAATAATAATCAACTTGCACAAAATAGTCAGAAGTAGGAAGTGAAGTCCATTCTTAACCTGGGACTTAAACATGTTCTTAGTTGCTGATTTGACGTGTGACCTTCCAAAAGCTTTTCCTTGCTTACATATATGTGATTTTCAAAGTTATATCCTCTCTTTAAAATTATTCTATATATGAAGTCAAACTTGCCTATCTTGCACAGGATCTTAGAAGTTTTCAGCAGTGTTGGTCAGGAGTTTCATAGAATGTGCCAGTGTTGGAGTTTGTATGTGTGGTTAGCCTGGGGTTGTGAGCTATTCAAAGGAGGAACACAGAGGTTAATGTACTATCTTCAGTAGGTCATGTCAAGGGTGCATACTACTACCTTGATTTAGCACGTTTGTGTTGACCTTCATTGCCGGTGCTAGCCGGCCAAAACGGACAGTACCTGAAAGGGGGAGTGAGGATTGAAAGAAAGGAAAGGAGACAGAAAAGACACTTCTTGGGAGGGCTCACAGTAAATACTGCAGCAGCTGCGATTTATTTCAGTTCTGTATTTTTATACAGAAGAACTCAATTAGTTACAATTGCTGTATTTCCCCACCTGTATCTGAAGGTCAGGGAGCGGTCAGATCAAAGGCTTCCACTATTGCCTCAAGGTCAGGTATTGTGAGGCTCTCCCTTCCTCCTGAATGGGCAGGTTAAGTACTGGTTTGCATGACACAAACTCAGTAAACGAGGCTGCCAACAGCTCAATGATTAGCGGCTCCCAACATCTCCCCCTTCCTTATTCAATTTTATAACCCCAGATTATGCCATATCTGGGACAGAAGGACCATGCCTGCCTTAGGTTGTCTTCTGCCAGAGCAAAGCCTTACCCGTCATCGGCACATAGCTTCCATCAGGTACGCCCTGTCTTAGGTTGACTTTCTCCCAGAAGAGCTTACCCATCTTTGACTACCAGCCTCTGTTAGGGGAGGGAGCTCAATCTCATGTGATGCACAGCTGCCTTGTCTTGCC